CCTGGAAGGATCTATTTTAGGGCTTTCCTTTTGAGGCTCCCTTGCACCAGACCTTATTTTTCTCAATCCCAAGGCGCCCTTCCAAGACCCACTCATATTGATTTTGTAGCTACAGAAAAAGCCATCTGCCTGAGCACGCTTTTCATTCCTTCGTCTCTTTACACACCTGAGTTGAGACTGATTAAATAAGACTTCTGCATTTTATTGTGGGAGCTTAAATCCCCACACCTCATTACAGAGCTCTTGATGTGCTCCCCTTCCCCACATCCTCAGAGTTTCTCCCTGCGCCAAAATGAGATTCTTCAAGCCCTTCAGGCTTTCCTTTGGTAGCTCGGGCTCATATTTTACTGGAGGTGCCAAGTTTTTGCACAAAATAATAAAAAAACCCTCTCTCTGAACCTATTGTTAGCAATAGCAAATGCAGGTGATAAGGTACAGAGTGACTTAGTGCTCTTCCTAGCAGAAGGATTTTGCCAAAGCCACGTGTCTGCAACAAAACGCTTGACTTGCTTTCCTTTAAATATATTGGCTACAAGCAGAGACGTATGGATTTAGTCCAGTGCTGTTGCTCCCATGCCAGAGAGCAGGGGCTGGCTGCATCCCTCAGCTGTTGCTGCCTGCCTGGGTGAGAGGCATGGGCAGCAGGGAAAGAAAAACAGATCAGAATAGTAATGAAGACTCTTTGGAAAGATGCTGTTGTCCCCTGTCTGATGTGTTATGCCCGGAGCACAGAGGATTAAATTGCCCAGGAATTTCCCAGGTGGTACATAGGACTCTATTTGCTTTTCCTTTTGGATCCAGCTAAAAAGTGTGAGTTATTACACAGCCTGCCTGGAAAGATAATGGCAATCATTCAGCTCTGGGGAAAAGGAGGGACATTTTTGGAAGTCACCACTCTTATTTGCCTTAGATGTTATAACGTTGCTCTGTCCAGGAAGAAGCATCATTATTGCCATTACTTCAGATGATGACTTTTATAAGGATTTTTGGGCAGAGTTGTAAGACTTTACAACTACTGTTTTGGTTTCCCTACCATCCAGTTGCTTCATGGGTTTTCTATGGATTCCTGTATATTTTATCCCTATGAAAATGAAGTTTACACTATTGTACTGCACGTGTGTGCTTGCCCACCCATGTGTGTGTTTTCACATACCATCAGCTTGAATCCTCTGCTCAGCTTCAGCCAGGTTTATGGGAGAGATGGACACCTCAGTCTTACCACATTCCCACCAGTCCTCACCAGCATTGTTTCTGTCTGGTCAGTGGTTGTGGGGCTGGTCAGCATCCAGGATGGGACGTTAGCCCAGGTGCCATACAACTCCCTGGACAGCAGCCCAGACCCACCAAATTACAGCTGAATACAGAAGGCAAATACATGGTCCAGGCCAGGCAGTGCAAGTGATGTATGTCATGAGCCTGAGGCTGTAAAACCAGGATCAACTTCTGGGCATCATTTTGTGCTGTATGTAGGAAGAGGTGGGAAAGAGGTTAGCAAGAAATCTTTTCCAAATTGGTAACTACCAGGGGACATCCAGGATCGATACAAATTGATCCCGATTCCATCTCGTTCACTGATGCTTAAGCTAAACCTTCCAGTTTAATAGCTGTGTAGATTTTCAATTGGGTGTGAAAGCCTTTTTAAAAAACATATCACAAGAGCTGGGGAAGAATGCAAACTGGAGTGAGTGTAGACATGTGAGCATCGTGTAACTGCCTTTTTTTTTCTGATGGAAAATTGCTTACGAACATCTTATAAATTTCACAAATGTGGTTGTGCTGAAAGGAAAGGCTGGCAGTGCTGCTGCCGGGCGTTACGGGGGATGTAACCTGCTGGTGAGCTTGGCGCAGAGACTGAAACCTTGGCAAGGTACCATGGTAACATTTCCATACACACGTTTATGGGTTCTTTGAGGTTTTTTTTTGGTTAAATGTCAATGTTTTCATATTATTCAAGGAGATTTTGTTGCTTTGAAATCCCACTATGCCTTTGAAACCTCTTTCAGTTTGCAATGTGCTTTGTGGGAAATGTGTCTGTTGGAGACAGGGAGCAAACAATGCTGCTTACCAGTGTCCTCAAGGTCATGTACAGCTCCGTAAAATGGGCAAGAGCTGGGGCATCTTCCCTGCACCCATCCAGAGGATGCGGGTGTACGTTGTTGCAAATTTAACACACTGAAGTAGGAGGAAGTGCTCAGCATCCTGAGGATCAGCATCACTGCCAGCCATGCAGCTGGGATGGGCATCACCGTAGTGCAGGGCAGTCCCATCATCACCAGTTTGTTTATGGTTTGAGTTTGCTGGGATCTCAGTTGGCAATAGATGGGGCAGCTGCAGGCCAGCTTAAAGTTCCTATATTTCTAACACAGGCCTTTTGGCTAAATCCAGAAGTAATTTGGACCAAGCAGGTCTGTGCTAGGTCAGACCTTTTGTTCCCACACTGACATCGGGCACCTACATATTTTCATTAAGCTTTTTACGTATTTCAGCACATGGTGCTTTGCAAGACATGATGCTGTGCTTTGAGCTCTCCCATGGCCCACACCTTACGATGCCCATTTCTGCCGTTTTCTCCCCCTGTGCAAGTTCTGTGCTGACAGACGGGTCCCATCTGCAGGACCCTTTGTGCTCTTGAATGGTGGCTGCATGTCCTCCTGTGGATGTCTGGCTCCGGAGCTGCTGCTGGGCTGGCTTTGAGCATCTCTTAAAGCTGGAGGCAGGCTGAGAGCTGCTGAATTCCAGCAGCTCTGCAGGGTTTCTGTTGAATAATCTTGGCGCTTTTGAAAAAATAATATACCTAGGTGGTTGAATTAAATCCAAAATTTCTCACTCTGGGTCCCACATGGTATTAAAATGCATTACTAGATCCCAGGTGGGGGCTGCTTTTAGGTACTTCAGCCCTCAGGGGAAATGCTTTTTTTTTTTTTTTTAGTTTTGTTTGTTTGTTTGATTTTGTTTTAATGCTTGTAGAAGCAGGAGCAATTTCAGGAATGCTTTAGTGCCCTGAAATACACTCCATGCCCTTCCTCTGGCCGTGGGTGAGTCCCGCGTGGGTGCCGGTGCTGCCACTGCATCACAGCCGGCCGCAGCTCATGGGCTCATTGCACGCAGCTCCGCCTGGTCTGCTGCAGGCGATAGATTTAAATCTCTCTTTAATTTGGTAGGGTTTTGAAAAGCAATGTAATTGCTTTTACATCGGGCTTGTGATTATGGAGAGAAAGCCTGGATCGATTTCTGTCTGAATGCTTTATGGTGGGGCTGGAAGGTAATGAGGGTGGCGCAAAGTGCTGGAAGTGTCTCTCCAGCCCTGCTTGTTGGGATCCAAGACAGCACCAAAGCTGACATCGGCCGCATGTCGTTCTGTGGGAAGGAAAAATCGCTGTCTTTGTGCAGAGCAATATGTCAGAGTGAGCAACTATCAGAATGAAATACATTAATTGGCAAGTGCTGGGAAATTACAGATATGCTTAATGAAAAAGAAAACCTTGTTTACGGTTTCTAATGTGCTGCTGAAGAAACTGGCTCCCAAATAAAAATACTTAAAATTACGATTAGGATTTATTTACATAATTACTGTGAGAGAGATTCTAGGGACGTGCTAAGCAATGTGAAAGAAAACTCATGGCTTTTCTTCCCTCTCCGCTGTCTCGAGGTTAGTTTGCTCTTGGTGAGTCTATTAAAGCTTTTACTAACTCAGTGAAGCAACAAGTCATTTGTTGCCGAAGTGGTACTTGGATGTGTGTGTATATTAGATGTGTATGTGTATATATATATCTGTTTTATTGACTGTCGTGGGAACATAAGGCTGTGGAAGAGCCAGATCATCTTCGTAATTGTAGTGTTGGCTGGGGAGTGCTGCAGTAGGTGGTACTTACCTCTTTATAGCCAAGAAACCTTGGTGTCCTGGCATGGCTAGAGTGCGGATGTCCTTGGAGCTTGTTTCTGAAGGGGCCACGTCCCCTGCAGGTGTGAAGGAGTGTGCTCTGCCAAAGCTGCCGTGTAAGCGTATATTTGCGGTCTGCACTGAACCATGCAGCCTGGCCACGCTCCTGCCATGGTGGAGACCCACAGCCAGATCCCTAGTGGTGCCTGGGTGGCTCTGTTGGCTTCTCTGATTTAGAGCTGCGGGAACCCTACAGTATAAAATGCAATAGGCCCATGATGGGGCTTCGCTGATTGAAACCAGCCAAGGGTATGACAAATCTTCCTCTTAATATTTCAATTGACTTTGGCAAACTTGCCTCTTTCTTGTGTATCCTAAATCAATGTGTAAGTGCTGCTGACAGTAATTTCCACTTTTGTCTGTGCAGATGGCTGCCCTTCACTAGGCTGCGGTGTTTATACCTGCTAAGTTTGCAAACAGTTTCCTGCTACAGTCTCCCAACGAGCAGTATTTTTTCTTAGCTGTCATATTTGTGAGATGAAAATGTTCTTTGTTGGGCCCTGCTCGAATGTGAATTTTCTTCTTTCAGCAAGGGCCACTGAAGTCTGGATTGGAGGCACTGCTGCAACGTGTGTCTTGCTCAGGGGCTGATCCATCCAAGGGGTCCCAGCGCTCCAGAGCGGGGTCAGATGCTGGCGTCCAGACCCTTCATGACTGTGGAAATCATGCTGCTGGAGCCTGTGGCTTTTTAATTGCATGTCAGTGTAGACCCCTATGCACTATATAATTATTATCAAATACTATATCTCTATGCTGAAAGCTGCAATATGACTGTTAAAGACTCATATTTTCCTAAGGCACCACTGCTCAGTCTCTGCTAACTCTTGCCCTGCATAAAGAAGCTGCTGATTTTTCCCCCCTGATTGTTTAGCTCCTGTTTCAGACCTAAATAAAATCTGCAATCCATCAGTCATGCACCCAACTTCGGTGCACGTTCCCTGGTGTAGGATTCAGAAGACTGGTCCGGCTGCTCCTTCAAGGCAGGCTATTGCACTGTTCAGAGAAAGCAATGAGATATAATTAAAATAAGCCTTTCTCTTCCCTTTTCTCTTGTGCCCAGGGAGAAGATGCCATTCCACCATGTAACAGCTGGCTTGTTGTACAAAGGCAACTACCTGAACCGATCGCTCTCCGCCGGCAGCGACAGTGAACAGCTAGCAAATATCTCTGTGGAGGAATTGGACGGTGAGCAATGTCATTGCTTTTTTCCAAGGGGGCTCAGAACTGGAAAGGCTTGTTTTCACCTTCTTGGTAGCATTGCCGTGCAATAACCTGAAAAGTGCTCTCCCCTTGAAGCAAGGAGTGAAAGGCAAGTGGGAAGTGAGATGGCTCAGCAGATCTGGGACAAAAAACAGTCCCCAACCACAGTTATGTTTGGAGCTGAGGGCTGATTTTAAACTCTGATATTGTCCTTCTGCCTAGAAATAAAGCAGTTTTTAAAAGAGTAAGGCTGCTTTTTATTGGCAAAATTGGTAAGAGAAAAAGTGGAACTAATATGTTTGTATTAAGATGTCTTCAGCCTTTCCCCAGGAACCTGCAGAGCTGAATCTCTCTTCCTGAGCAAGTCTTCTCATTTGCTTTGTGCCCTTTCAAAAGGGAGGCTTCTCTCTGTTTTGCAGTGTAACAAGATGCTCAGAGGTGGCTTGTGGCTTAGGAAGCTTGAAAGAGCTTTAAAATTCCCCTTTCCAGGTCAGTGATTTGGAGCACAGACCGGTCTCAGACTGGCAAAGGCTGTCAGAAAAGTCATCCACATCTGCTGCCTGTAGGATCTCCATCATTTTTCCCCTCTGGAAGCTGGTGGTTGCTTCTCCCTTCTGCCCTGCAGACGGGATGTGAGGCCAGGTAGACTCCCAGTCTGGTTCGTGGCGGGAAAGTCTCCTTTTCTAGACAATTTGTGGCTCACTAGGGTCATTTCTAAGCAAAAGTTAATGTTGTTGACAGCTGGTCTTTGAGGGCTGTGGAACAATTCGAAGCTTTTGGTTTGCTTCCCAGTGGACATTTGGTACAAGCCACGATCATAGCCAGCGTTCTCGGTGGAGAACTTGATGAGTAAATGAGCAAGGGAATGGTGCAAGGTGGAAACAGCCCTTCCAGGACAGGTTGGGAGCATTTTGGCAAAACTGGAAAGCCAACATTTCTGCCCTCTGTCCCTCATTTCACCTGCACTTAGTGAATCAGACTTCAGTTTTCAAGCGTTTTCAACTGTGAACCTTCAGCTTTGGTTTTGCAAACTTTGTAATAACTTACCTAGTGTAGAAACAGAATGCTCTCAGAGTATTTGTCACTGCCTCTCTTTTTCCCAACATGTATGTGCAGAAAGCATTTTGGGTGAGATGAGTCGTGTGAGAAACCACTTTCAGTGCAGCCAAGCTGGGACCCAAGGCAAACAAGGGTTGCAGAGGCATCTTCTGGGCACTTCTCCCAGGTTACTGGAGCTTTGCTTGAAGGTTTTGTGTTTTCTAACAGAAGTGAACTGGCTCTGCTTCTGTGTATCCTTTAGCTGTTGTCTCTGTTCAGGATGAGAGGGGTTGGCTGCACACAGACAGGACGACATTGGACGAGGTCTTGTTTATTTTAAATTCAGAGAACAAAGGTTTCTCTGCTATGCCTACCTGATTAGAGCACTTCTGCTATAACTGCCTTTGAGATTTGTAGACAGATGTCAAGAGCTGATTCAAGTGGCATCAGGGCTGTAGCCCACACTTGTGGTGATCCTGTTGTGAGAGGGAAACTCCTCTTTGATTTTTTTCTGTTTGCACGGAAGAGGTCTGTGTCTGGATGTGGGAAGAAAGGTCACACGCAGAAGCTCAGCCCCATTCTCATCCTTCCCATGTCTCCCTGCTGTCTCCCCAAGCCACGTTGGGTGGTTTGCAAGCCTCTGCAGCCCACTCAGCATCACCGTCCCACTGAAATCTCTGGGTTGGGAGCAGCAGTGTGGGAACCTGCCTTCCCCGAGGAGTAACCAGCGCTCGAGACACTGTGGGTCATTGCCGTTAATTAACAGCAAATGAAGTGAATTATGCGTAGAGGAGCTGTCTTTTGAGCAGGCAGTGACCAAGTCGCTGCTAATGCGAGTGCTGCATCCATTTAATTTGGTCTGTGCCCTATTATAACTGTGCTATTGAACTGGAGAGCAGCAGATTTCATTCATGTCTGCTCACAAAGAGTATCCCCCTCGTTCTTCAGGAGAATGGTTAGAGCTCTTTAACTTATCATCCATTTATTCTCTGGCTGTTAAGCACAGGCTCCTTGTTAGAATTTAGTTATATTTTTTCTGACAGCCTTTTGCTTTACAAACACCTATTTTCAAGGGCTTTATATCTTTGCCACGAAGATATGCCCCAGTTCTTAGCTTAGCAGAGAAGAGCTCAACCTCAGGCCATTTTTTTTCCACCTGTGAATGCAGAAGTGGCACTGAATTCATTCACATCCGCTAAAGCCGGAGCAGCATAAGATACTGGAGATGTTTTTCTGTGTGCTAGCTAGCAGAGCACAGCCTACCCATTGGAAATCATATGTAATATTAAGTTGGCAGTCGCTATCTTACTGGGATTTGTCACTAGTACTAGATTAGTGCCCAGCTGTGCTGAAGGTAGCACTGCTCACTGTCCAAACCCAAAACAGAAATAGCCTTCCTGTCTTTGAGCATGAATTATCTCAGGGTGAGTAACAAAATGTTCTTCCTTGAGAAGTTAATGTCACTGTATGGGAGCTTTGTGGATATATTAAGCTGTGATAGCTCTATGCCAATAACATATTTGCATTTAATCACATAGGCTGGGAAAGAGGTGCCAAATTCCCTGTGGTTTCTTTTTCAATGAGATTTTGATCCCAAGGGAGTCCCAGTCTATTGACAAATTCCAGTCACACGCATTAAAGCATTAAAGGTTTGACGCTCTTCCTGAGGAAGTCAATAGGAATTTTCTATTATGCTCCTGTGCACTTGAGGCTACTACAAGTGTCAGTGTATTTTTTTTTTTCCCAGCTGTTTTTTTTTTTGTTTGGTTGTTTGGTTGTGGGTTTGTTTGTTTGTTTGTTTGTTTTTCATGTCTAGCGTTGCACATCTCAGTGCTGTTTGCTTTATGAAGGATTTCTGCAAGCGTGAGCTCTGGGGTGCTGCAGGGAAAAGGTGCTGCGCAGCCCGACTGGGACACAGCATTGCTGCCGCTGCGTGTCCCTGTAACACATACCGACAAATGCCATGTGTTTGCAGCCTGCGTGCGAGGTATGAAGGATAATATGGAGATCATGAAATGAAAAATATTTCTGACCTCATGAAACGTAATGGGGAAGGAGCCCAGGTTTTTTGGTTGAACACTCGCGGTTCAGAGCAGTGTGCCTTGGGTGCTGCTCTGCTGCTTCTCCCACTGGTTATTTTCCTCCTATGAAAACTTTCCCAACTTGAATCAGCCATCTGTCAGCTTCAACTCTGCTCTGTTTTTTTCCATCCTGCTTTAAATACTATGCTGGCAGCAAGGAAAGAAGCTGGAGAGATAGCAGGTCACTCTGCTGATGGCTTGTCTATTCCTAGCAGCGGTGTTTGCTATTTGCAGTGCTGTAGTAGCGTGAGGGTTTTTAGAAGCTGTCACCGTCACAAAGGGAATTAACTCACAGAAAGCTATATTAGGCGATACTTAACTTTGTAACACCAAGTAAATGACGAAGTTGAAAGTGGCAGGCCATCCATAACCTGTCTCTCAGGGACCATGGAGTGTGGTGGGATCTCAGATGAATATTATTGCCATATGCTTAGCGATTTCTGGGCAGGAGATTACAAATTAGGGCTGGGAGGAACTATTTTGCATGTAGCTTTTTGGGCTGTTGTTGCTTGACATAAAATTGTGGCACAATTTGTGCATACTCTGTGGTTTCCACATTCCTTTTAAGTCCAGCTTCTGTCTTCACGTTGCAAACTGCTAGGAGTATTTTTAATAAAAAATGGTGGATGGAAATCATCATGTCAAGCTTGAGTCATCCACCTCCATAGGCACTATCTAAAGGGTATTGTCAGGAGGTAAAAACATTTCCATAGTAGGAATCTGACAAATATCACCTGAAGGAAGGCACATGCATTATAAGTAGTCTTTGCAGAAAGTGTCTGTGAAATGAATTATAGTCAGAGCGCTTTGCAGAGGAAACCCAAATGTGGACCACAGCAGCAGCTATTTGTCCAGAAAGACATCATGACAAATCCTTGCATGACCCAGATTTTTCTGAAATCAGCAGTGCCCATGCGGAAACGAACCTTGCTGTGTGGCAGCAGGGAAGTTATTGGCATCTGGTGACTTAGACCAAATAGGAACTGCCCCAGGTGGGGTCTGTGGTACCTTCAAGGCTTTTTCTAGGTTGGGAGATGGTTTTTTTTTTTGGTTGTAGACATCAGGCTGACCAGCCTGATGCAGTCCTTAAGGCGGACACCCTGAGTGGAAATGCCAGTGTATGGCTTTGCCTGTCTAAACTGGAGATGTCGGCAGAGCATCCCATGAGGTGGGGACAAAACTTCATGAGTCTGGGGTGCAGTAAGCTTCAAGGCAAGAATCTAGGGACTTTGATATCATTATAGTTTATACACCACATTGCAGGATGTGCTTTACCTGGTTTCTGCCTCTTTCCTGCACCCCCGTTCTGCCACCTGCAGAAGGTCTCGACTGGGTTGCTGTTTCCTGGGCTTCTGTGTAGAAGTCAACAGAGAGTGGCTGCAGAGTACATTGGAAAACAGCTCTTGAAATAATTAAAGGCCACGGCTAAATGATGCCCATATGGATTTTAAATTAGTAGTTGGCTCCCGCATGCCAATAAGGCAGGCAATGACAAGTGGCTGAAGGTGTGCTGGGGCTGCAGCTGTTTCTGGAGTCCCAGCAGCACAGCGAGGTGGTCGGTCAAGGGGCTGGTGGCACACCGGGTAAAACAGTCACACGTTGCCACCGCAGCCATGCTGTGCTAGCCCTGTCTCTGAAAATAAGGCCAAAACCAGGGGTGTTTACCCTCTTGTGATGTCTGATATGATGGTCCTTGGATGATACAAGTCCTGGAAAGAGAGGGAGCCTGATGCTGCAGAGTGCTGTTACCTTCTGGTCTCAGCTGGGGGTTGTTTAGTAGAAACCCCATAAGCCACAATGACTGTGGCTGATCCAGATCCTCTTTCACTCCCATGTTATCAGGACAGCTCAGCAAACAGGTCTCAT